GCAACGCTTTTTCGGTTATGGAGGACTCCGTTCAGGTTTCAGAAAGCCTGAAAGACCTAGAAAATATATGTATCAGGGTCACAGTCCCTACCAGAAGCCTTTGAGAGGGCAATGTATAAAACTGTGAGAGCGAAGCTGAAGGTACAGTGGAGACTCTGGGAAGTTGGAGATGCCAGGAACATTGGACCATCTGCTGAAGAGAATTCCAAGCGGCATGTTCATCTCTGATCTAAAGTTCCTGAAAGAATTTCAGAGGTCCACAGATGCTAAAGTTATGGCCTCATTCTTGAAGAGGAAAGACAAATAATGAGACATGATTCTAGGTATGAGGCATGGTATAAAGAATTGTACTGCCTTTGCACGCACTCCAGCAAGCCATTGGGGGACCCGTCCCACTGGTAACCAGATCGGGATAGGAGGGAGCAGCCATGCCTGGCCCATCAGGGAAGCTTCCCACCCCAGGTAGCCAACATGGGCTGGATAAAACAGCAGCCAACCCTGCACCAGTGCGTGAACTAGCCACCACTGGATACTGTAGCCAACACAGGAAGTGTCTGGGACCTCACGACCTGCTTGTTTGAAAGAATCCAGGAAAATGACAAGACAACGAAGCAAAAGTAGTCTCTGGACTCCAACCCAAGCAGAGGAAGTCCAGGAGATGTAAACACGGAAGGGATTGGGAATCACACACCTGAAGTTTCTGAAGTGATGGCAACTGAAGTAAAGAGACGACTCCATGAGGCTCTTGTAGATAAATGGATACAATTTGAGATCATGCTCATGGGTGAAATGGTTCAGAGCCACATGGGTGAATATTGTGTTGTCTCCCTGGTATAAAAACTAAAGAACTTAGTGGGATCCAAAATGCACAACAGATGTGAAAGTGGAAAGGGAGGAAATGTCTAAAAAGGGAAGGCAGTGGCCATTGTTGATCTATTATCTTGTTTTGAAGTCTTGCATTGTTTGCATTGTTTTATTTAGTTTGCTTTTATTCTGTTTTGTTTTGATTTTATTATATTTGATGACATGTATAGCTATTTCAAAAATATAAAATATATTATGGTAGCCATTATTGATTTCCTATTATCTTGTTTCTAAGCCCTGTACTACCTTACTTGTTTTCTTTAATTGATTTTATTCTATTTTATTTTGTTTGATTGTATTATGTCTGATAGTATAAGCAACTACTTTGAAGATAACAAGATGCATTATGGTAGCCACTGCTGTATTCCTATTGTCTTGTTTTGAAGTCATGTATTGCTTTCATTATTTTGTTTTGACTGGTTTTATTATGTTCTGTTTTGTTTGATTTTATTATGATAGACGTATTGGGGAGTTATTTTGAAGATAACAAGAGAAATTATGGAAATCATTATTGATTTCCTTTTATCTTGTTTGAAGTCTTATATCACATTCATTGTATTGTTTTAATTAACTCTATTCTATTTTATTTCTTTCAGGTTTATTCTCTTCAAAATAAATTGTAAAAAAAGAGAAAAAAGTAAAAAAATATGGTGTTTATACACAATGGAATACTATTTTGCCACAAAAAGGATAAACTTGAGACATTTTTAGGTAAATGGATGCAATAAATCAGACACACAAGTTTAAATATCATATTTCTTCCCTTATGTGAGAAACATAAACTATAAATAAGGAGCAAAATAGAAGATACATATTAGGAAGCAGAAAGAACTTTTCAGATGACAAGGGGAACAAGAGATGGGAAAGGGGAAAAAGAAGGAGAAAGAAATTTAGAGAAAAAGAACTGCAGAAATAAATGTAAATATGACTTTTATAAATGTGGACGGAAGCAGGATTGAAGGGAGAAAAGGGGAAGATAGAAAAAAAAAGAATTATGATGTGTTATATACGTATACAGATGCTCCATGATGAATGTAGTCATTCTATAATGCAAGCACATGCTATTTTGCACATTTTAAAATATAATGAAATAAAATTTAAAAGAAATGTTTATTTTTATTATGAGATAAAATTGTAAACTTACACAGTAAAGTGCAAAATTTTACGAGTACATTTTCACATCCGAAGTGACTCTTTTCTATTCTACATTCAACTGAATCTACTTTTGTCAGAGCATAACTAACAAAATTCAGGATGAATAAGGAGCCACCCCTTCTTTACAAGGCTCACAGTCTGGGCAGGAGGTTGATGGACAAGTACAAATTTCTAGAGTCGAACTCTACGCCACTTGCTATTCTCCACACTTCGCATGCTGCGATGTTGGGACTGAGAAATACACTAACAAAAATTTGAAACATCTTTAAAATTTCTGTCTTTAGGGAAGACTTTTTACACTGTTCACGGAATAACTGACCCTCCATTAAGAAAGAAGTTTAGGTACAAGATAGAAATAATGTAGTGGGAATACATGGAGCTGATTCTGAAGGCTTGAGAGAGAGAAACCTACGTTTAAATTGCTAAGTAAACAAGAACAAAGTATTAAGCAGTTAATAATATATTTAAAAATCATAAACCAGAGATAAGGGCTATATTTACTCTTCAAATATAAATAAATAATAAGCAAATAAGTCAACCAACAATGGATACAGACAGTCTATTTGGATCTTTGGTCTGTAAATCCTTTCTTTTCTCCTTCCTTCTCCCTCTTGCCTTCTTTCCTTTCTTCTTCTGATTCTTTTTTTGATGTCAACATTGAAAGAAAAACTCTTTCTTCACTACCACAGTGATAGTAAAGCCACTATTACCACATACTTCCAATATTTCTGCCAAACAATCATACATATCTTACTAGTATAAAAAACATTTAACATTAAAAGTGATATATACAAGTATCATATTTTGCATTTTAAAATACTGTGAATTAAAACTTTCTATCAGCTCTTTAAAAGCATCATATGAAACAATACATCATTATATATTAGTGATTCTAAAAGTAAGTTTGTATACAAATATTAGACTCATGCATTCAACCAAGGGTTGCAAAAGCCAGATGACATCTGTAGTAATTTTCCTGTAGCACACCATGGAATTACAGACAAACTTTCCTTGGTTTGATCATCAGGCCTCTTTTCAAAGCAAATTTACATGTTTTATTTTAAACTTTAATGGGTAAATGACTTCTGAAATATAAAAATACCAAACAAGATATGCTGTATCACAATTCTCATTGCAAAGATGCTTTCAGTGTAGAGAAAATGAATGCAAATAGGAAGTCAGTGCTCTCTCTTCCCAATTATTGTTATAACTTTTCAAATTTAGAGTTATGAAGAGCTCACAGGAAAGGGTTCATAAATAAATTTATCATATATCTCAGATGCAATGAACTCCATGATTACATAGGTTTTGGAGGTAGAGCTATACATTAACCAAAAAGATTTTAATAAGCCATGCATATCTTTATACAGGTTTCAGAATTCTGGATAAACCAAAAAATAAGCCCTTTGGTGTTTTGTGATATAATTTCTATCTGTTTATCTTTACTATCTGAATGTGAAGAAAACAAAGACCATTCAGTCATCACCTTTCCTGTGAATTCTTTATGGAACCAAGCTTGGTTCTGTATTCATATTTATAAAAATATTTTTTATCACAGGTATTATATTGTGTTCAAATGATTTTAAGACTTGTTTTCCCTCAAAATAATATGCATTGTCTTTCATCTGTGTGTATATCTACATCTTCAAAATGCAGTGGTGCACTATTAATGCTTTTTGAAATAATCCAGTGTGTGCTTACACTTAATTTTTCTGCTACACCTCCATGCCTGTGTAAAACACAACCACTTATAAAGTAGATTTACCACAACTTCTAGGGAAGAAATATTACCCATTTCATTACAAAACCACAAGTGCTCATTAGTAGACTGAAGGACACTAGAAAGTGCAACAATACAGTGTGATGTGTGGTAATAAACAGACATTATCTTAACACACAGCTTAGATGTGGAATTTTTGAAATTAACACTGGACACCTTTTATTGCATATGGATCAAATGCCAATTGTAAAGAAATAGTCCAACTTACACAATGCAATTTAAAACATAATAGTGTTAAATTGCTCTGGAAGCTAATTCTAAATAAATATAAACTTTCAGACCAAAGTAGGACTATTTTTGAAGGCCAGATATTAGTGTGAAGGCGCTCCTATGGCTGTACTTTTAATAAGAATAGATTGTGATAAAAGAATGCTTTTGAATTGGCAGTACAAAAGTGTAACTCTTCTCAATAGAGATCCTGACTATAATTCCAAAGAAGATACCCAAGTTAATTCAGTAGGAGCATACCTGGTGAAAAGATGAATAGTAAGATCAAGTGCATAAAGTTATCACCTGCTAAATGTATTCTGTGGGTTGTAGCAGGTAACAACATCACATTCCTCTTACAATTTAAGGTAGCATGACAACTTTTCTGAAGGCAACCATGTTACTCACTTGTTATAAACTTATTACTCATTCAAGAGAGGCAGAACAGAGGACAAGATCCCTTCTCTTGCGTACACCTTCTGCACAACAATTCATTTGTGCAATACATACTCATTCATTCAAAGCTTGCATTGAACTCACCATCCTTAATTATAATCATTGGCTCCAGTGAGTAATCTGTGGATGGTTTTGAGTTGCTGCCAGAGACAATATATCTTGGGGAGGGGAGATAAGCTTATGGGAAGAGAAGCTCTTTTCCCATAAATGATGAATCAATCCATTAGATTTGTGATAATCAATGCACTGGATCCTTTTCATGTCAAAGTAGGGGGAGGTAAAACCTTAGTGAAGTGGCCAATCATTATTAATTCATCCGATGGAGTAATATTAATCACGAAGAGCTAATGTGATATTAATGTGACTATAATGCAGGCTTCAAAGAGAATTTCACTGTAGAATAGAAAGATGGCGTAGGTTTTGTTTACTAATTTACTTACCTAATAGGAAATTTCTAAAGATTTTGAGGAAACAAAGGCAACTTCTTGCATGCTTTGTACTTGAGTATGGAACTACGGGAATTGCACTGAGAGCTCACCTGTAAATTTCCGGCGTGGCCCCAGGTTGTCTGAGTCAGTCAGCAATCTGGCAGGGAAATCTTCTTCCAGGAAACGTATTTTTGAGGCTGCTGGTATGAGAAGCTGGAGGACAGGATTCTGGGAACAGAATCCAGTCTCCAATGCTGCTTGTTGTTCCTTAAAAGACATTTGAAGATGAAAAAGTAGAGAGCAAAAGCCTGACTTCATTGGATTTAAGAACATTTCTGAAATTAATTTGATCCAATCTCTTCAAATGTACAATGAAGACTCATTTCTGAAGACTTTGAGGGAAACATCCAATGTTTCAACTCTGTCAGAGGGACTGGTTAATGTCTGCTCTAGATGTCTTAGTCTTAGGTTAGCATACTTTCTGGAAGATGACCCAACAGATGAGTAATCTAGGAAACTGAAACCATAGAGCCCAAGAAGTCTGTTAGGACCTGACTTTCTCTTATGCACCAATTCATCTTTTTGCTACTCATATAAAACCAACCAGTTCATCATGTGAATCACATTGTTTCTTTTCAGTCTTACTAAGGGCCACATCTCTGCCCAGAATCTCTGTCTTCCCAGATTCGGGCCAGCTTTCTCCTTCTGTTTAAAAATTCAAGTCAAGACCATTTCTCCCAGGTTCCCTTCCTATTACTGGCTAACCTTCACCCATTTATGTTTCTGAAATTCGTGGGCACGTATCTACAAGTTTACTTACAACATAATTGAAGTAGCCTTTTTACCTTTCTCCGACCAAACCATGATTCTTTTTCAACACTTGTGGTAAATGCTAATGTTCTTAGCATTTACATAAGCACCAGCCACATACAGAAGTAGTAAAATATTTTAAGGAATAAGCTGAATCCATGAACAATATGTTAGCACAATATTTAAATAGAGGCCTCTTATTTTTACTCTAAGTTCTTGTTAATCTTTCTATGTGCATCAGGAGGCAGCCACTTTATTTATTTTTCTATTATACATCTTCATTTTGTTGCCTATTTTAACAATTTATGTCTTTCTTGGTAATTGCCAGTATTGACTTTCATAATTCAATTTTCTGCCATTCGGTTTAAGGTGATATTACCATTAGTGTTATTTTTTCCAAAGGAAGTATTTCATCTGTTGGTTATATTTCCCTGTATTTGGGACATAAACCTTGTTGATGATTCTTATTGACATAAATTGAATTTTTTTCATTTTAAAACTGGTAATAGTTAACTATAAGTCTTGTGAGTATAAATGATGTAACAGATAAACAGCATTGTTATAAAATTGTACTAATAAATGTCAGGCCTCTTCCTTTTCCATGCCTCAGATAAATTTTAATAATCATTGATATAAAGTAATAAAAATTATTCTTTGTATCTATTCTTTTGTAATTTCTAAGTGTATATATATATATATATATATTACAAAATTTATTTTTGATGAACTCTCCTCAAGCTTCTGAAATGTGAAATGCCTAAAAATAAAACAAATTTGTAGATCTTCATGCATATTTTTCTTCTTCTTATGAAATCTTTCAGTATCTGTAGGCTGCACATTGCATGGTTCACTTCTTCACCCAAATTATCTCTTGAGAGTTTCCCTTCTTCACTCCTCAAACTCATCTATCCTAGATTCTTACCATCTATTGTTCAATTTAAGAGAAGGTCCTGAATTAGCCTTCTGCCTCCTACCCCCTCCCCATTGTGTCCTCTTACTCTGAAAGAGGTCTTTAATGGCATAATACTCTGCTTAAGTGCTTCAAATGACCCTTGATTCAATATAGGATTAAGTCTGCAATTCTTAGGCTGGTACACAAGACCTTTTCTAATCTATTCCCCAGACACTTCCATGTTCACTTCCGTAATTCAAAATTTGCTGTCTTTCACACACGGGGTTAAAGTGCTTTTATTCTGGGAATTATCTGTGAAGGTGAGGAAGAAATATTTGTAAAAGACCAAGGGTTATGTTAGGATTTTATATTTGTCACCTTTTATCACTTTAACAGGAGAAGGCTCTAATTAGCCCCATGTTAGAGATAAAATTGCAAAAGCAACAAAACTTGGTTAAAGATGTTTGTTTTTTTTAGTGATAGAATGACATTCATCCTGTGATCTTTCTGCCTCAAAGGTCTTCCTTCCTCAAAAGTGTTACTTTTCACACTTATGTTTCAAGAGACATTTCTTTGTGAACACTTTATACCTTCTGATTCACAATACTTATAATTTTTTATTTGGCTTTGATACTTATATTAAATATAATTTCATCAATTAAATTTGCTATACCTCCTTTTCTCCCTTAATGTTTCATATATGAGTCTGCTCTAATTGTTTACTATTTCCAATTGCAGTTGTATTTACCAAGCTATATAGATTTAAATGGCAAAAGAGTAATTTACCCATGTTTATAATTTAGTGCCTTAGTCTGACATATAGTAGAATTTCTAAACACACTTGCTTAGGAATTGGTTAAATGAATGTGTTCCTAGAATAAAGGTATTATGTGTATATTTCCTGGGAAAATTCAGATATGAATATATATTTGATCAAATTTTAATTAAATATTGTAAGACTATGCTATCAAATTTATGATAAATACAACATCATGATTTTGAGGAATTTCAAAACCAAAAACCTTACGTGGTGCCTCAAAAATGGCACCTGGAGTAAGGGCTTTAGATTTAACTCTGCCATAAACAATCTCTAATTTGCCATTGCGTGAGCTAGATGCCCTTCCAGCACAGTGGCACTGCCATTGTATCACCCCTCAACAAAAGTCTACCAAGGCCAGGAGACTGGTGCCCGAAGTCCTGTCTGTGCACACCACCAAGCCTTTGCCTTCAAGGCTGTGCCCTCTCACAGCACTTTTGGTGCTGAGGAAAACCCTCTCCCTCCTACTGCTGTTTCAGCCCCGTTCCTCACAGAGCTAGAGTTTTCCTGTCCCTTATCCTGACACAAGACGTTCACAGAGTTAAGAAAGTCAAGGCAGCAAGATAAGAAAGCAGAGGTAATGTCATTGGGATTTCTGCCTTCTTTCTGGACCACAGCTCTGAGGCGGTAAACACCGTGGCCTTAGCCCATGAGCACAATCAGACACGAAATAAAAGCCTGATCTTTCTCAATTCTTCTCAGTGAGGAAAACAAAATATAAACCGATATCTTAATAAATTATCTTGCATTATCTGTCTATATGTGTGTTTTAAATATCACCTAGTATAGCATCCTAGAGAAGAGTGGAAATACAGAACAGTCATAAAAGCACAAATTCTGGGGCCACACTGTCTTAGATTCAAACACTGTCCCCATTACCTCAGTAGTTTATCTTTGCATCTTTGTTTACCTGTGTTTAAAATGAAAATAATGCTATCTTCTTTAAAGCGTTGTGTTATTGAATTAATGTACGCAAAGCACTTATAACAATATGTGGCATGTTGTACATTCTATATATGATTTAACTGAATTATTCTATATATTGTGCTCTTTAGATACTCATTGCAATCCATTGGCTTCTTCTTTTGGTGAATGACTCAATATTTATAACAAATTTTTTGTTTCTATTGTTGTTGTTGTTTTGAGACAAGATCTCACTAAGTAGCTCAGACTGATCTTGAACTCATGGTAATCCTCCTGTCTCAGCCTTTGATTGCTGGGATTACAAGTGTACGCCACTCTGCCAGGCACTTAAAGTTTTTAACTTTGCTATTTCTTCTAAAGGCTAGTTACAAATTTACAAAGGGCCATTGAATAATGTACCTGAATACAGGCTGACAACAACATGTACATGCTAAAAGCCAAAGCTCTTATTTTAATTGGGTTTTGTTCCTTTCCCATAGACCTCATGGTGAATCGGTAGATCTTAGTAATCTCCACTTACCTTCTTTAACACTATCATCCTCAGACAAATTGATCAACCTGTTCTCGAATTAACTAAATAGCATATGAATTGCTTCAAATGAGAAACTGTGTTAAACTGAATGAAAAGGAAAATGTTATCATAATTTTAAGCAATAATGAGAAAAAAATGTATAACACAAAATACCTGAATTAAAGTGAAGAAAACTCTCAGATCAATGACATTCTCTTCTACTTTGGCAAACTAGAAAAAAGAGAGAGAAAAAAATAAGCAGACAAAAATAATAGACCAGACCATAAATAAATTTAATAAAAGTAAAACAATTTAATAAAATGTAAAGCAATGAAGAATATTAATGAAACCAAAATCTCCTCACATGGTACAATGAAATTGATAAATCTTGAGACAGACAGATGAGGACAGAGAGAAGGCACAAATTACCAACATCAAGAATGAGAATCATACTCTGAAAACCCTCCCATGAAAGTGTGAAATTGGGAGAGTGTGGTACAAGAGGAGTCTAGGGAAATGAAAATGGTCAGATTGGGTTCCAAACTGCCAAAATGAAACCTACTAATATCTGTAAGCAGTATGTGCTGGTAAAAAATGTGAAACAAAAATAATTAAAATTATCAACAACATTTTTCGTATTAAAAGATGTGAGAGAAGACATTTAAAGCATTAATGATAGTTAATCATCATTAAGTACAATATACAAAAGATGAGAGCGATGTCTTCACTAAAGATTTCACAGATCTTAAAATGGAGTAAGACATTTAGGAACAATACTTATCAGTGAATTTGGCAACTTAGAGGACATAGATAATATGTGAAAACCATAAACCACAAATCTCACACAAGAAGAAATAGATAACATGAATAACTGTATATATATTAAGGAATTGAATTTCTCTTTAAAAATCTTTCCTTGAGAAAATGCCAGGCCCGAATGGATTGACTGATGAATTCTATCAGATATTTAAGAAATACAGTACGACACTTCTATACAAAGTATCTCAAGGAACTGAAAAATGTTTTCCAATATTTTCCATGAGATGAACATTGTTCTAATATCAAAACCAGAAAAATTTGTTAGAAATCTGTAAAACAATAATACCTATTTATGGATAGACATGTTTTTTAAAAATAACATAGATGTAAGGTATATATACTATAAACATGTTTTAAACACAACTTTAGCAATTAATATCCAACAAGATACTGTATTAAAAAAGATACTGTATCATTCAAAGTTAAGATTTATTCCAGGAGTGCAAGAACAGTTTAATTCACAAAAAATCAATCTATTTAGACACACCAAACCAGATTAGCTCATTGTGGCTTCTATAGCGTAACTCCAAGCAACAGAAGTGTTTTTCAGAATTCCAAAGGACAAGCAATCCAAATTCAGATTGCTGACACAGTCAGTGCAGGTGAAGTCTTTTGTTGTGCAGAGAAGGTCTCTTCCTACCATGTCCTCACGTGGTAGGAAGAATGCTAGGTCTCTGAGATCTTTTTTGTAAGGACACTAATCCCTTTCCTAATCCCCTATCAAAGGCTCTTGCTTCTCACACCTAACTCACCTTGGAAGTTAAGATTTCAATGCATGACTTTTGTATGAACCGAAGTACTTGGACCATAGAAAAAATTAAAAAAAAAAAAAAAAGAGACGGTCATCTTAAACTTGCAAAAAGAATTTTAAAAAATCCAACAGCTATTCATAATAGAAATTCAGCAAACCAAGGATACAGGATTTTTCTTAAACTACATCTATAAAAAACCCTATAGCTAACTTCATACTGTATGGTGAAATGCTACATGATTTCCTCCTAAGATCAAGAACAAAATAGGATATCTCTTACTACTTTGAGTAAACATTTTATTTGAGATTCGAACCAATATAGTTAGTAATAGTAAGGCAATAAAAGAAAAAGTCATCTAGATTGAAGACACAAGTAAAATTGTATTATTTCACATGTAATGCAATCATTTTATTGTAATTATTCAAAAAAATTTGTAGAAAAGCTACTAGGACTAAAAATGAGCTTAGCAAACTCATTTTTAGCAGTTTTTAAGATTAGCACTCAAAATCCAATTGCATTTCTATGCATTGCAATGCTTAGGCATTTAAAGTTTTGAAGTATTATTTATAATAACATAAAAATATAAAATCTATAGAGAGATATTGGATAAAAGGTTGCATAACCTATAATCTGAAAAATGATAAAGCATTGTGGAGGGAAATTCAAGATAACATAAATAGAGAAATATACCTTTTCATCAACAGGAAGACTGAATATCAACAAAATGTCAGCTTTCTCTAAATCAGTCTATAAATTGTAGGGGTAGAATGTGATCATAGATGAAAACTTACAAAATTATACAATTTAAATATCTGAGGTTTTTCTTTCATTGCAATTGGCCCCTAATAAAAGTATTTTAAAAACTAGTAAAACCTCCTCAAAAGTTCCCCGTGGATTTCATGTGATATGGTAAGTTTCAAATGTTTAGTAGAAAAGTGGGAGCTTGAAGGTTTTTTTTTTTTTTATAACAGCTAAGTGACTTTAGGGAAAACACTTCACTTTATTGAATGCTGGTTGCTCTGTCTATCCAAGAGGAGTAATAAAACTGGCTGAAATGGTTGTTATTAGAAATAATTATAACATTTTATTTAAAGTGCCTAGGATAGCACCTGACACCAGGTATTTAAAAAGTTTTAAACTCAAGGTAAGCAATGATGAGATATTGCCTTAGAGATTAGTCACTATTTAAGAGGAAGTGAGTAGAGCATTAAAGAACTATTTCCCTTAGTTCACATTTTGCCTAGGGCTTATCCTGAGTTTATGTCACTAAATAATTTATGGAACCTTATGTCATACAATTTAAAAACTTACAGATGTTCACAATAGACACCATGATTTATTACCATTACCTGAATTTTGTTACATTTTTGCTTACAAAAATTTTTTATGTAGTTGCAACCTTAATATATATTAGGAGATATCTCTGTTGTCATTGGCTTTTCAAAAATTGATGAATTTCAACCTAAAGCAAATATTGATAAACCATATATGCCATTTGAAATGTACAATTTTCTTTTCTCTAGAGCAAATACAACAAATGTGTGCATTTATCTATGAACTTTAGTGGTGAGTGTTATTAGCTTTATGACCATGGGCAAGCCAATAACATTTCTAAGTCTATGTTTCTTAATTTTTCTAAAGTAAGGTTTAGATCTCATGACTTCCAAACCATTGCCTTCTTAAAAAGCATTTTGTTGGAGTAGGATATGGTTATTTGAATTCTTTTAACGTGCAATGAACTAAATAATCTTGGTTATTTCAAAACATATTATTGGATTTTTTACATATTTACAATTATTGTTGAAACAAGATTTTTTATGATGCCATTTTAAATATGTGAATATTTTCCTTGGACAATTTGAATCATCAAAGATCTCTAAATCCACTGATATCAAATTCATAACATCTAAAAGAAATTGATTTAAAATAAATGTCAATTAAACATGCTGAAGTGTGGCATGGGTGGGATGATTATGCTATTATCTTAAATTTTCTTATAAATGTTCAAAAAAATTTTGTTTTTCTGGCTGGGTGTACATAGAATACTTATTTCAGAATATTCAGTTTTATTCTATCTTAGAAGGTGATAGAATAAAAATGGACTCCCATGTATTTGTGTCTCTCCATAGTTTATGTTTTATTTGGAGTTGCAAAACAGGAAAAAAGAGAAAATAGGTAAGTGGGTTAATTTGTCTATACACATGTGGATGACATGGCTGAAATTTAAAAGAACAATACATGGTAGGCAATTGCATTATTCATTTACTTTTGTTGCAAAGTTTTACCATTAAACAATAAATGCTTCTGTTTTTTGCCTATTTGCTTAATTCACGTGTGTATGCTTGTAAATCCATGGGAACATACTTTGCTGAATAATGTGCTTTGTAGAATTCAAAGCAGAATTATTTAATTAATAGCACATTCGATTTTTAAGATCAAGAATAGTGGATGTATGTGTGTATTTGTATGTGTGTGTACATGTATACAAAAAACAAAGGGGGAGAAATACAAATGCATATCATACATACATATACCTAAGAATGTTTTTAAAGGAATTTGTCAAAATCACAATAGGAGTTGAAGTGGATACTCATTGAATCTACAAACCTCTAGATGATACCCACAATAATTTTTTTTAGAAATGGAAAAATAATTATAAAATATATTGTGTTAATAAATCAGGAAAGGCGCTTGAAATAATCTCATAAAATGTTATAGCTTAAATAATGCCCTTCATCAGTATTCTTTGTTTAACATTTTATGTTTATTGATAAATGAAGATGCATTTAAATAATTCAAAGAAAACATTAGCTGCAAGCAAGGAATTAATAATTGATACGACTGGAAGGACTCTTTTCACTTGGGAAATAGATAATATTAGCTTAATGTGGGGCTGTAGGAACAGAGGAAATGTAATGGGTCTGCTTGCTTTAAACTGATGATGGTTATTGTGGTCTAAAAGTTGCTACACAGGCAGAAGCAGGACAGCTCGGCAAGTGCGATAGATTTCACTCACAGGAGCTGACCGTGCAACTGTGGTCTGATGCTCCAGATTTATACATGGGAGGCATTCTAATGATTATGACATATACTGAGGAGATGAGAAAAAATGCAATTTAACCATATTGGAAAATAGAGAAAAAAACTCTTTAAATATATCAAGATGATAAAAATAAAGAGACTTTACTTTTCTCCTTCATCGTGCTTGAGGTCAGACACCAGTGAGAACATGGCTACCTTCCTTTTGACAAGAAACACCCAAAATGAGGTTTTAGTTAGAGTCACACAGTGATTGAGTCAGCACTCCAGCTGCACATGTGGCAATGCCAGCATCTTTGGGGAGTAACGGAGGATGAACACAGCCAGATACAGGAGACACATATGTTGGCGATTTTCATCTCACCTGTATTTGTCCTTCTCCAAATATTAGAGAAAATTGACTCACACACATCTGGGAGTTTCAGAGGTCATTAATTTTATCCTGTCTTCTCCTTTTTCTTCCCTTTACTCTTACAACCCAAGCAAGAGAGGAATTCTTGAAATTACCCAGAAAGTTCAAATTACTTCCTGATAAATTCATCTTTGCTATTGGGAATGACTCCTTAATTTCTCATCTTAGGTAATGTAAAATCATGTATTTAATATTTAGATTTCACCCATCC